TGTCCCCTGGGGTCCCTGAGTGTCCCCTGGGGCCACTGAGGGTCCCCAAGGTGTCCCCTGGGGTCACCCCATGTTCATGGCCGAGGTCATCCAGGCCTACGAGACCCTGCATGGTAATGTCCCCAATGTCCCCAAGGTGTCCCCTGGGGTCCCTGAGTGTCCCCTGGGGTCCCTGAGTGTCCCCTGGTGTCCCCTGGGGCCACTGAGTGTCCCCTGGGGTCCCTGAGTGTCCCCTGGTGTCACCCCATGTTCATGGCCGAGGTCATCCAGGCCTACGAGACCCTCCATGGTAATGTCCCCAATGTCCCTGAGTGTCCCCTGGGGTCCCCAATGTCCCCTGGGGTCCCTGAGTGTCCCCTGGGGTCCCTGAGTGTCCCCAAGGTGTCCCCAGTGTCCCCTGGGGTCCCCTGGTGTCCCCTGGTGTCCCCTGGTGTCCCCAAGGTCTCCAAGGGCTCTGGGGACATCAGTGGCCTCGGTTACACTGCACAGGGCCATCTTTGGGTTCCAATAGCCAACCTGCCCCTGACACTGGCCCCATCCCAGGTGTCCCCAGCTGTCCCTAACCCGTCCCCAGGTGTTCCTAACCTGTCCCCAGCTGTCCCTAACCCATCCCCTCTCCCGGTAGCCAACCTTCCCCTGATAATGGCCCCATCCCAGGTGTCCCCAGGTGTCCCTAACCTGTCCCCAGGTGTCCCTAACCCGTCCCCTCTCCCAGTAGCCAACCTGCCACCCACACTGGCCCCATCCCAGGTGTCCCCAGGTGTCCCTAACCTGTCCCCAGGTGTTCCTAACCCGTCCCCTCTCCCGGTAGCCAGCCTGTGCTGCCACTGGCCCCATCCCAGGTGTCCCTAAGCTGTCCCCAGGTGTCCCTAACCTGTCCCCTCTCCCGGTAGCCAACCTTCCCCTGATAATGGCCCCATCCCAGGTGTCCCCAGGTGTTCCTAACCTGTCCCCAGCTGTCCCTAACCTGTCCCCAGGTGTTCCTAACCCGTCCCCAGGTGTTCCTAACCTGTCCCCAGCTGTCCCTAACCTGTCCCCAGCTGTCCCTAACCTGTCCCCAGGTGTTCCTAACCTGTCCCCAGGTGTCCCTAACCTGTCCCCAGGTGTTCCTAACCCGTCCCCAGGTGTCCCTAACCCGTCCCCAGGTGTCCCTAACCCGTCCCCTCTCCCGGTAGCCAACCTGCCGCCCACGCTGGCCAAGTCTCAGGTGAGCAGCGTGCGGAAGAACCTGAAGCTGCACCTGCTGAGCGTGCTGAGGCACCCGTCCTCGGGCGACTTCCAGCCCCAGATCACCACGCTGCTGGTGGACCTGGGCACGGCACAGGCCGAGATCGCCCGCAGCATGCCCAGCCCCCGCGACGGCCGCAAGAGGCCCCGCGACGAGCCCGACGCTGCCCTCAAAAAGATGAAGATCGGTGAGTGTGACAGCGGTGTCACCTCACCCGGGGTGGCAGCGGTGTCACCTCACCTGGGGTGGCAGCGGTGTCACCTCACCTGGGGTGGCCATCGGGGTGGGTGGTGGCCACTTGGGGGGTTCTGGAAATGGCCCCAGGATGAGCCCGACGCTGCTCTCAAAAAGATGAAGATCGGTGAATGTGACAGCGGTGTCACCTCCCCCGGGGTGACATCGGGACCTGCTGGTGGCCAGTCACCCCTTGGGGACGCTCAGGGACCCTCCTCGTGTCCCCACAGAGCCACCCCTGGGCGAGGATGACGAGGACAAGGACCTGGAGGCGCCGGCCGTGGCCGTGGCCAAAGTGGCCGGAGCGGCCACCGTCCCCTCGGACACCGACATCACTGCCGAGTTCCTGCAGCCCCTGCTGACCCCCGAGAACGTGGCCAACCTGGTCAGGGCCACACCTGGGGACATTTGGGGACACTCTGGGGGGTGTGGCACCTGTGTCACCTGTGCTACAGTCATTGCTGACCCCCGAGAACGTGGCCAACCTGGTCAGGGCCACACCTGGGGACATTTGGGGACACTCTGGGGGGTGTGACACCTGTGTCACCTGTCCTACAGTCATTGCTGACCCCCAGCAATGTCCCCAGCCTGGTCAGGGGGGGACATTTGGGGACACTTTGAGGGGGTGTTGGGGACACCCTGGGGTCTCCAAGGGGTCCCTGAGGTGTTTTTGGTGTCCCTGGTATGATCCTGGTCTCCCTGGTGTGATTTTGATCTCCCTGGTGTGATTTTGGTGTCTCTGAGGTGATTTTGGTGTCCCTGGTGTGATTTTGTTGTCCCTGGTGTGATTCTGGTGTCCCTGGTGTGATTTTGGTGTCCCTGAGCTGATTTTGTTGTCCCTGATGTGATTTTGGTGTCCCTGGTGTGATTCTGGTGTCCCTGGTGTGATTTTGATCTCCCTGGTGTGATTTTGGTGTCCCTGAGCTGATTTTGTTGTCCCTGATGTGATTTTGGTGTCCCTGGTGTGGTTCTGGTGTCCCTGAGGTGTGTCTGTCGCCCCCAGGTGCTGATCAGCATGGTTTACCTGCCCGAGGCCATGCCTGCCTCCTTCCAGGCCACCTACACGCCCGTGGAGTCCGCGGGCACCGAGGCGCAGATCAAACACCTGGCTCGGCTCATGGCCACCCAAATGACGGCGGCTGGGCTGGGGCCAGGTCAGGGGACACCCCTGGGACACCCCTGGGCTACCCCGGGACACCCCTGGGACACGCCTGGGCTACCCCTGGGCTACCCCGGGACATCCCTGGGACACCCCTGGGCTACCCTGGGACACCCCTGGGCTACCCCGTTCTTCATTCCCACCCCATTCCTACCCCATTTTCCCATCCCATCCCATTTCCCCATTCCCACCATCCCCACTT